GAGAGAGAGAGAGAGAGAGAGATAGAGTAGTGAGGGGAGAAAGACTGGGTGAGAGAAAGATAGAGACAGAAGGGGACAGGGAGTGACGGATGAAGAAAGACAGAAAGAGAATAGTGGGACAGAATCATGGGATTTAAGAAGGAAGATACAAAACTGAAAGAAATTAAGGTGAAGAATGAGACAAGACAAAGAAAATGGATGAGAGAAAGAAAGAAAGAAAGAAAAAAGAAAGAAAAAAAGAAAGAAAGAAAGCGAGAAAGAGAGAAAGAAAGCAGGCGAGGAAGAAAAGAAATATAGTAAGAAAGGAAGGAAAAAAGAAAGACGGAAAGAAAGAAAGAAGGAAAGAAAAAGAGAAAGAGAGAAAGAAAGAAAGAGAGAAAGAAAGAAAGAAAGAGGACTGAGAGCCCACGCATACTCTGTGAATTCCAAATTCCATTTGAAATCGAATTCCGAGGTGGTCCCACTAAAAACCCGTTGACACAATCACATCTAAAACCCGGAAAGGTCAAACATATTCTGTGAAAAACACGAGTTCAAAGCGGTGTGGAAAGTGCTGGTGCTTTGCATGCACTTCGACATTTGCGGGACCGGAGACAGAGAGAGACTTCCAAGAAGCATTTTCCTCCCAACGAGTGATGAAACAAATGGGGTGGAAAGAGAGGGTAACAAATTATTGACCACCTGCTGCCCACCGGCAGACGATCCAACCGTTTTTAACGTTTGGGTTTTTCAATTTTTGTTTTGTTTTGTTGTTGTTTTTGTTTGAAGAGAGACAAGCAAAAGAGACACTGCGGTGTTTGTTTAGTGTTTGTTTGTTTGTTTGTTTGTTTGTTTGTTTGTTTGTTTGTGAAGCACATCGACAACATAATTATGGTCATTTAGTGCTGAGGAAAAGCAAGACAGACACAGAAACAAGAGAGAAAAAGTAATAGATACGCAGTGATACTCGATTTTTAAAAAACTCCCTACATGGGATTCCAACTCACACCATTTGCATGCCACAGTGAAGCACGTAACCGCAACACCACTGACGCCGGTATATCATTTTTGGGGTTTTCTTGTTTTAGTAAGGTTTTGCGGCGCTCGCAACACAATGTCATATGAGTTCTGAAGATTAGAGGTGTTACAAGAGAGTAACAAACACAAAATAGAAGGAGGGGAGATAAGGACGATAGATGTTCGATAGGAAAGAAGGAGCAAGCCACACCAGAGCACCCACTAACCACCTACGCCGGCATATCAGAAAGACATAAAACGTGCTGAACTCATAAGACAAAGCACTATGGTACGGGACCTACGCCCTTCCCACCACTATAAGGTTATTCAAGTGCCAGCGCCTGAAGAAGATACTCATTTATTTTACTTTAACTTGCTAATCCTTTGGTGACGTTGAGCATCGAGGGGAGATACAGAATTATAAGGTAGGCCAGCTCCGCAGCTCTTTCAATTGGAGTACTTAAACTTCTCAGGGTTTCCGTGACTCCTTCAATCCACCTTTTCCGTGGCCTTCCTCTTCCTCTATAGCCCGAGCGCTTGGTGTTAAAGGCTTCTCTTTACTCAATTAAATACGTCCGATTTCTGCTACGTTTTGTTTTCGTTTCTGGTTTTTTTAAATGTTAGGATAATGCAAAATCAACCTAGAAATCGGACATATTTCTTTGAGTAAACAGAACTTCACCGACATAGTAAAGGCCATTATATGCTGGGAAAGAGTAAGACAAACTGACAAAGAGATCGAACAGAGGTAGGACCCACCAGTAGCACCCCCAAACCATCTTCACAAGGAATCTGAGAACAAAATAATTCATATAAAAGGAACTCACCACGTCTCCTGCAGACGACTCGCCCAGTACCATTCGCAACCCGGCACCATCTTCAGCTGAAAGAAAATTTAGATTTCTCTGAAATGTGGAGAAGTACTTACCTAAAAAACAACGATTATAAAAATTGTTAATATGATGATGATGATGATGATGATGATGATGATGATGATGATGATGATGATGATGATGATGATGATGGCTTGTAGTCATTAGATATTACATTACTTTTTGTTTCATGTTCCTGACGAAGCCTTTTACCGGGCGAAACGTTGAACCTGTATTAAATTTGAAAAATTTACTAGTGTCAACCCTCTTTTTTCCCCTGCTATTTACAATGATGATAAAGATGATAATAATGATGATAAAAGTTATGTTTTGTTTGTTTGAGTAAAGAAAAGCACATCAACACAATAATGGTGCTGGGAAAAAGGAAGAGAGACAGACAGAAACAACAGATGGAAAGTAAAGAAGTAGAACCTACCAGTGACGCACTCTAACCAACCGGGAGGGGGGAATGGAGGGGGCGGTCTGGAAAAGAGGGGGGGGGGTGAGATACAGGATGTTGATTTGCATTTACATGTTCTCCAGCCAAAGAGCCTAGGAAAACGTCTCCGGCAAAGCAGGCAGTGAAGGAGCTTATGAACTTAACGAACAAACTAACGGAGACCTTCACCTCTCACGGCGTAGCCATCCTTGATAGACGCCGGGAAGGGAGGTAGAGGATCCGCAGCACACACAGAGCGGGCTAGGGTCCGCCCCAAGGCATCTGGGGACAAAAATGTGTTTGTTTGTTGGAGTAAAGCTGTCCCCGCAGTTTTATGCACAAAAAAAATCTTAAATTATGCAAACTGAACCCAAAAATGTGAAATTATGAGATTTTGTTAATTTTAACACAGAATGATACAGGAAAAAATAAAAAATTAAGCCAAAAATGATCAAATTTTGCTAAATTATGCGAGGCGCATAACACCCCGGGGACGAATAAAGAGAAGCACATCGACAAAACAATGGTCATTAAGAAATGGTGGTGAAACGTTATAAGTTTAAGCCCCTACCAACACTATAGAGGTATCTAATAGTCGGGGCCTCCAAGTTGAACGTCCATCTCCGAAAAGACCGAGCCAAAATGGAAATTCGTGTAAAGTGCCTTTCCCAAGGACACCACGTCGGACCAAGCTGAAGCTCGAACCCCTGAACCCGCAAACGCACGATAACGGGTCCGGCAGCCTAACCACTAGCATTCCAAAGCCACTGTTCATCTAGTGCTGGGAAAAAGTAAAAAGAAAGACAGAAACAATAGAGGGAAGGAAAAGAGGTAGGCCCTACCAGTGGCGCCTTCTAACCACCCGATGGAGACAAAGAGAATACAAAAATACTTATAAAGTACATGTAAGGTTTTCTTAGGCACTTAAAATACCCTAATTGTGTTGCAGGTACGCATCCCAAACGTTCCAAGCTAATTTAATAGTACTAGATATATGACCTAATTGTGTTGCAAGTGTCGCAAAACTCTTACTAAAATTGTAAAAAGTATGATATTCATGGATCCAAATTGTTCCAACATATGATAGAGATCTTGCAAGACATAGACTTCCATAAGAACCGACTGCAATGAGTTTAATGAATACGCACTGTCACAAAAGAAACAGAAAGAGAGAGAGAGAGAGAGAGAGAGAGAGAGAGAGAGAGAGAGAGA